TATCCATTAAAAATGTGGGAATGGGGAAAAGTAGCATGAAAACATTGTTTCATAAAAGATGCTAGTTTTTACATGAGGATTACAAACACTTAGAAAAATGTGATTGTTTCTGAAATTTTAAACAACACCATTAGAAGAATTAAATGCATGCTATGTAACTTCAGGGAAACGGATTATATTGCATATCAGATATGGAAAAATGTACTAAACAAGAATGACTGATCTGAAAACAATACGCAGTATAAGAACCATTGTTGAATTCCTACCATTTTGTATGGTGACGCTCTTTGCATCATTTCCAATTTTTTCAATTATTACTTTTTTTTTTACTATCTTTGATAGTTTGATCAGTCTTACATTCATATGTCTAATGGACTAAGCAACTTCGTTCAAGATAACAGTATCTAATATAGCAACCATTGTAAATTTCTATCATTTTGTCTTGAGGTCATGTATCATTTTTGTTGTGTTGTTTTGATTTTGTCTTCATTATTGTTTTGGTCAGTTTTTTAATTTTTAAAACAAAAAAATCTTAAAAAAAAGTTTCGATATGTTTTTCCCCATTGTGGTTTTTTAATTCTATGATTATATCACATGAGTGACTCGAGACTCGATCATAAAAGCTCATGTAGCCTCTTCTTGGCTCCCTTGGCCACTCTGTTCTGGGACCCAGCTACCATGCTGTGAGGCAGCCTGCAAGGGTATGTGGTGGCGCCTGTAGGTGTTCTGGGTGACCCCCCACTGGGAGCTCAGCTGACAGGCCACCAGACAAGTGAGTCCAGCAAGGCTTTAGGTGACAGCAGCTCCCAGCCCTTAATTCCCTCCCTCATTCAGCCTTTCTAGCTGAAGCCCAAGACTCCATAAAACACAGGCGAGCCGCTGTGCCCTTTCTGATTCAAGGAAACTGTGACCTCCAAAAACTGTTCGCTTCCTGGAGTTGGTACCCAGCATTAGAAACTGAAATGAAGACAGCAGAGGAGTCGGGGGAGGGAGAGGCAGACACCGACCAAATTATGGCCAGCAGCTAGCTTTGGGGAGGTGGGCGTAAGTACTAGGTAAGGGTTTTTTCCCCACGTTTTGTTCTAGTTGATGATACATGGGAGGAAAAAAAAATGCAAGGAAGAGAGGGATTTCTGTGAGAGGTATGAAAAACTGATTAAGCAAAATACTTCTCATGTTTATGCAAAGTAAAAACAAGCGAGGAATGACTGTGGCGGAAGGAGGGCACACGAGCGTTAGGATATAGAGGGCGGGGATCACTGGGGCACTCCACAGACCCTGCAAATCGTCAGACTTCACATGTGAGAAATGCACCTGGAAAACAAATGGCAAAAGTGACAGCCTTTCACAGGACTATCTGAAGGAACTGCTATTTTCCACATCATGTGTACTTTCGCACGTTGAAAATATGTGAAATGCCCGGAACATTCAAGAACTAAATAAGGGATCAAATTATAACAAGTGTACCACCCAAAAAGCTTAGTACTGGTTACTTCTAGGTGGCATCAACACACAACCTGTTTGATGGAATGAAGGCTATAGCTACGCAGCCTGTATAAATTATAGAATAAATTTCATTAATTTAATGGTCAGTATTCATCAAGGATTTCCTAGTCATAGTTTAAATGCGGAAGTATAAATTCTCCACATTATTAGGACCTTAACCATTTGTTTTTTGCTAAAAATCACAAATCAGATGTGGAAACATGCCTACTTTTTTAAATCATAAATTTTCATATGCAGGATAAATATCCACATCATGCCATAGTACTACTAAAGACAAATTTATGTGTGTATGTACAGTAGCCTCTAAATGTTTGAGTTTGTATATCTCGACTTTCCTATTTTCTGAATATTCTGGTTTTTTTTTTACATGCAAAACATACTGCAATCTCGGTGCTTGATCTTTAAGTAGAAGCACTTTTTCATTTGTGGAAGAGAGCTTATTTAAAAAAATTAGGCATCCAGAGGACACATAAAGAATGTGCTGTGACTGACACAAATATTTTTTTAAGCTTCGATTTTTTTCCACACTAATACATATCCTTTATCCTTCCGCAGTCCTGTTTGCTCAGCTGGATGTCCACAGGGCCCAATTTTCCCTCTAATTGCCCTTGCACACTAATATAATTGCTGTTCACATGGGTAATTGGTCAGCCTAGAGCACCATTTGTATGCACTTGCTCATGTACACTATCTGGCAGCTTCTCAAACCATGCTGCATTCTTACTATCGTGCATTTTTAATTTTTGTTCTCCTTGTTGCAAGGCTAAATGAAGTGAATCTGAAAGGATGTTAGGATGTTGTATTTAAAATGCTCAAAAGCTCAGTTACAGCTATAAATTGTCTTTTTAAAAAGTCAGTTTTTCTTCTCACTAATCTAATACAGAGCAAATGAAATGCAGTCTCACATGCAGATTGTTCTGTCCTACCATCTTACGTTACTGATCTCCCAAACACAGTAAACTGACTAGATTCAAGCAAACTGGCTTAAGAGCGACAAGCCAGGCTCATTTAACAATATGCTCTTAAGGGATGATGCAATGAAAACTATTAATTTTATTAAATCTTTTTCAAGTACATTTTACATATTTTGTTAGATAATATAGGAGGTACACATAAAGCACTTCAGGCAAATTCCAAGCTGACTATTTTGAGGAAAAATACTTGTGCAACTGTTGGGGTTGCAAGCTGAGCTAGCCACTTTTTTCATGAAATGCAACTTTACACTTGAAACCTAGTGACAAACTTGGTTTTTTAGACTTGACTATTTGGCAAACATTTTCTCCGGAATGAATGAAGGTAGCTTGTGACCTCAAGGAACTGTAAGCCCATGACACTATGTGGCTGCTAAGGCTAACGTGTTTTCTAATGAAGATGAGGATTCTGAAAAGTATGTCATTATGCGTTAAACAGCCTTCCAATACTAACTTTCCTGAAAGATCAGTGGTACCAGCACTGAACTTCACTTTTCATGATGAAGAGAACCTTCCAAAGTGAAGAAGAGACCAACGGCGTTTAACCAACAGGAAATGTTCCTTGGTGGTGTTTCCGATTCCACATTGCAACTACACTTAAAGACATCTTCACAAATTTTTGTGAAGAATCACAAAAATCAAAGAATATTTGCAGTTACTCGAAAAGACTAATAAAACACTCTTTTTTCAACTACCTAGCTGCAGGACATCAGATTTTTCACATACTTCTTTCAAAATAATGCAATTGATTTAAAGCAGAAGCAGTATGAAAAGCAACTTTCTTACATAAAAGATACAAAAGAGCTTTGTAGACACAGTATCACTGACCTCTAAATAAAATATTTGTTAATATGTAAATAATTTGCTTAAATAAACTATAAATGAGCATCTAAATTTCCCATTTTAATTTCTAGTAAATACTGGTAACATATAAAAGATACTTTGGGGTCTACAATCATTTTTGAGTATAAAGGAGTCCTAAGACCAAAAAGTTTCAGAACTATTGGAATTTATCACTCTGAAAGCAGTTACTGTAAACGCTGCTCAGAATGAGAAAAATACAGAAAAAGCAAGGCTACAGTTGTTAGAATTCTTCAAAATTTGCCTGAAGGCAATGATTTGCTCACCAAATGCAGCAGAATTTATGGTTTTATCTACAAATAATGGCCAGGGATGTAGCTCAGTGGCACAAGTGCCTGCCTGGCAAGCGCAAGGTCCTGAGTTCAATTCCCAGTACAAAAAAAAAGAAAAAAGAAAACAGAAATTTATCTACAAATAATGTATCTGTTAACCAAAACATCAACACTATTTTTGTTAATAGAAAATTAAGAATTTTAAAAATTAAGAACTGTCAGAGTTTACAGATGTTTTATTTTTTTCAGAAGTGATTTTTTTTACTATCTCACTAATATACACTTCTGTGACTTCTTGCATGTACAAATTGCTTGAAGCTTAAGAAATATGTCTACAAAAAGCCATTACACAGTCTTAGAATATAACTTCATAAAAGCAAAGGCCTTAAATAATTCAATACCCTTACATTTGAAAGTGACTGGATATAAACTTTATTTTACATTTTATTGCGTGTAAATTATTCCCTAAAGAAAAAAATCTCCATTAGGGTCCAGCACAATACATATAGAATAAACTGGGGGACTGAACCTAACAGAGGTAGGATAGAAGAAATAAAAGGCAGCACACAAGGAAATCATCAGTAAAAATTGTACATCTGGAAGGCTGCAGCTTCCGGGACACAGTCTTAGTTACCAAAGGTGGTCCAGACCAGCGTTTTAGTTAGGTTCCTTCCGTCCACACACATCACCCAAAATTCTTTAGGCAACCTGAGAGTCTGTAAATTGGCTTGAGAAAGTGAAGAACAGGACTCTAAAACAGGTTGAGAGAATCCTAATAATATTTAAATGACCCACCGTCCACTCCTCTACCCCACCAGCCCCCAAACTGGGCTCCTATCTGTAGACTGGTCAGCGCCCTTCTGGGGGGCTGAGCCGCCTTTTCCCAGGGCTTGCCCCTTGCAAGAGAAGCGCAGATGTTCCCGCTTCAGGAAGTAATGCATCTCATTTCTCTGCACACCTGTACTTCCCGCCAGTGTGTACCAGGGTAATAAATAAACCCTCCCAGCCTCTTACTGACTGGTGCTGGAAATGTTTCTTCTGCGAGAGGGGTCAGCGAGCTTGCAAATGTCCTGTCCAGGTGGGCAGGGACCTTATCTCGGCTTCGGGAGCCTCCTCAGACTCCGTCCAGTGACACAGCCACGTGGCTTACCTCGAAGATGAACACCCTACTAGGAATGCAGTTTTTGTCAGTTTCAGCCCTTGCATGTACACCAAGTTCTTGATGAATACTTCATGAATTTTGTAATTATGGCAGAACAGTATCTTAAGGCCACTAATTTATGAATACTCATCAAAACTGTATAAAAAATTTTAAAAACATCACATTCATCTTGCTGAAATCAGAGTCTGGGTTGATTTTAATAAAGAGGTAAGAGGAGAGAAAAGAATCTTATGTTTTTAAAAAATATTTATTTAAAAATAAGATTTCTAAAAATACAGTACATAATACATTTCAAGACAAGTAAAAATTCCACACAATTTAAATTAAAAACAATCTGCAAAGAAAATAGACTATTACATGAATAAAACCAGATCACTAAAATAAATTAAAAACAACATTGTTCTTAAGGTAGATACGTAGTTTTTCATGTTAAGAACCAGTGCAGACTTCACATTGAAACAAGCACATTTCAGATACGATTCCCATTCTACCCACCTTCCTCCCTCTTCTCAATATACTCTTAAATATCTCCACCACTCTTCTTCTTATTATAATTAGTATTAGAAATATAAGTGAAGACTTTCTTTAAGTGCTCTTCTGGTAACAAAGTAAACTAGTAAACAATGCAGAAAATCAGCACTCAGATTTACACATCTTATGCACTGAATGAAAAGGAAATGCTTAACAAATTTAAAAACAAGATCTTTATAAGAAAAGTCAAAATTTTTTAAAAAGGATATAATACTGGACAGAATTTGGGGTTAAAAGTTTAGGAGCCTCGAAATCACACGTGTTTTGTCTATTTATTAAATTTGCCCATTAAGCAAGCAAACAAAGTACGAGTTCCAGAGACGTGAAAGGTGCTCACAGAGCACGACCACGCGTGCCCGTCCTCCCCACAGCCTCCCACCACACCCACGCGGCAGCCTCGCAACCCGTTTCGGTATCTCTGACTGCGGTAGAAAGTGTTCCTATTATATCTTTAGCTGCTTCTTTATACCTATGCTAAAGTAGTTTTTCTTTTTGTTAACTTTTTAATATTCTCTCTGTGAGACAGTGGTTAGTGGACAATTCGCAAGTACTCGCATCTTGAAAAATAAGTAGATTCAGCTACAGTACAGCACGCTTAGACAAGTTAAATTACTCCGAACCAATACAACGGCAGCACAATCTCGGAAATTCTGCTGCAGAGTAGTCAGATACAGAATGCTGCTCCACCCCATTCTGCTTTCAAACAGATTTTTGCTCTCACCTCTGATATGTTTATTTGGATCCCTGCCTGTCATTCATAGGATCTGAAGTCATGTTTCACATGAATTTCAGACTTGATTCTTTTTTTCCATTCAGAATTCACTGCAAAACCATATACTGTATTGCATCTGCATCACGGAAGAACTAATTTCAGATGATCAAAAATAATGTAAACACTTTAAAATATGATTGTCTTTTCGAATATGGATACCTTGTTACCGTCTTGCCTGAATAACCATTTCAATTTCAGTTATAAGGATACCAAATGATAGTGTTTTTAAAGTTTAGAAGAAAGAAATAGGGAATCAGTATAGTATACATAGCAGTATTACATTTGGACAATTACATTTGAGTGCTTTTCTCCACCTTTAGAAAATGAGCCACTAAGTAGAATTAGTTTTCAAAATAATCTTACTCTAAATTTTCATGTAAAGTGAGTAAAAATATCCAGACTTTGATTTTTCTGTAAAGTTCAATTTTCTATTAGTAGTTTTGCCTAAATCAAGGTACATTTACATTTCCTACTGGGAACATTTTAAAAGTGTTCTTTATCTTTATTGGCAAAGTGGACAAAGTAGCAATATCACTCTTTAATGCCACTAAGGATAATATACATAAAGCGATGTTAACGTCTTTATTTTCAGTAAAAACGGGCCCATTATTAACCCTTCATTTTAGCATTTGTTTTGGTATTCATGACAGTACCCAATAAGTTATATCATTCATTTACAGAAATAAAAGTAGAACTCTAATCTACTTTTATTTATTGTTGCAGAAATAAAAGCAAAAAACTATGAAAACTGCTTCAATTACCTTTAGGTACTACCACCCATTGAACTATCTTTTAAAGTAGCCAAGGAGTATTAAAACATAAAATTAAAATCCTTACTAATCTCTCTAACTGGGCGGGTGCGGGGGAGGTGGTTTCTAAATGACAGACATTTCAAATAGACTAAATTGAAGCAGCAGTTGCAAAAAGAAGATCTGGTAAAAAATTATTCTTAATACCATTCATTTCTGCTTTACAAACACGAAGAGGTGAGACGGAAAACTTTCAGTCTACCAAAAAGAAAATGAACTCTTTGGTACAGGAATTAAAAGTGTCACTCAGCGCTACAGTGAATAGCACCAGGATGTGTCAGTTGCTGAGGTTGTAAAACACTAACTTCAGGCACCAGTAGGTTAAAGTATCACTATGCATACTGGCAAGAACACAGAGCTTGCAATACGCACACAAGCCTTCCCTTTATTTAACTGCCTGCAAGCCAGCCCTGTATGAAGTCAAACAGGCGAGCAAAGCCACAAAAAGACACACCTTTTGTTGTTGCTGTTTTATCCATATCTTTGTTTATGTAATATAAAGCTATCAATATCAAAAGGATCAAAGTGCTGAAAAATCATGGTAAGCACTACAGTACATGCTATAGGGAATTCAAAATACTAACAAAAAGACCCTTCACGGTATCACCTCCCAAAGATCCCAAATGTTAAAGCGAAAACAACCTTTTATATTTAAATTGTTGATTTTTTTCTTCTGATCACCAAATTCTCTGTAACATTTAGGATCACTTCTTTGCCAAGAGAGACCTGCAGAAAAGGTCTCAGTTCTTTCAAACTTCAGGCAATCTATTCATTTCTCCTCTGCATTAAATACCTGCATTTTCCACACTTTTAATACTGCATGCTAACATACACTACACAATACTTATTTAAAATTAAAAATCACTTCTTGAGGTACTTGACTACTTAGAAAGAGCAATGTAAACACCTTAGATTAAATAACACAAGCTAAATGCTTACCTGCATAACAACTCTTCAGAGTAAAATTGCATCAACAAGAGATAAGGCTAAAATGATGAACTCACGGAGATTCTCTGACGGAACAGAAACGATCTCCACCAACTCCACTACTGCAGTGCTCACTACTCACCCTTCATCCAGCCTTCTCTCTAGCTTGTCAAGCTGCCCTGTCCCCTTTATTCAATTTTTTGGCTACTTACTACTCATTGGTACCTGTCCTCTATGCTAACAAGGGGAAAGGATATGCTATAGGAAAAATTATGACAATGAAAAATACCAGTAGTATCAGTCACTTAAGAATTTTAAAATGTTATTTCTATTTCAAATTAGTACTAGCAGGCAGTATTGCAACATCTGAATAACAAACAAAAATGTAATGAATTTTATTGTTAAAAAAGCAAATGATAATGAAAGAAGTCAGAGAAAAGTCATTTTCCTGAAGTTAAACCACCATCCCCAAAGTAGCAGACCGCTGAATATTGATGATAGTAAATAACGATATTTGTTCAAAATACTCAAACAAATTAATTTCTAATGCTTTCTTACATTCTACTGTAGAATATTCCAAAATTCAAATGAGAATAGCTAAATATAGAGTACACTGAAAATTCTGATTTATAGATAAATTCAGAAGATAATTCCTAATAGAAGGCAAAAAACGGGACATTAAATACACTCATTTCTTAATTACATGGTTAATAATACTACCAAGTAGAACATACTAAATATACATGACTTACTAACTACATTTGCCAATACTTATATTTTTAAAAGCAATAGTAGTAGAACTGGATGAAAATTTAATACTTCTCAGTACACTACTTTATGTTTTTAAGTGTAAACTTTACCAAATGAATTCTAGACATATCTATGTATATCATTACAGGTCATGTAAAAAACTTAATGAAGGAACTATAGTTTAGTAAACTTGGCTACTATGTAATCTAATGATACATGAAGCATAAGAGAAGTAGTAAGAGACTAGAAATAATCCAAACAGAAACTCTGTTAATGAATATTAATGTCAGTAAGCCACAAGTAGACACAATGTGATTTTATAGCAATACAGGTGAGAGTAACTCAAAATGTCCCATACTATAACACAGAGAAAATTGTGGGACCGTAATCTAAATCTAAATTAGTACCACTTCCTGCTTGAGAGTGTTTCCTAAGTCTTCATGATTCTTATTCAGAATTAATATATCTTTTGGACGAAACGTATCTCCAACTAGGTACTTGTGTGGAGGGGACTTGGAAATCAAAGAAACAACAGGTAGAGTTAGCCACCATCCTTAGGGGAAAAAAACACTTCTAGGCATTAGTAAAAACACCCTGACTAGTTCTAACAGAAGTTTTAGTTCTGTTGCTCTGACGAATTTTGTGCATAATTATGTTCTCTACTTGCTTTTTTTGGTGCTAAGGATTGAACCCGGGGTCTTGCCTATGCTCTTCCACTGAGCTACAGCCAAAGCCATTGAAAGAAAACTATGTTTTCTTCTGAAAAAGAGCTTAATATTGTTAGCTGCAATCTTAAATGTTTGTCCTTATGTTAACCACAAATACTTTTATTACAACTCAAAATAGCATAGTATTTTTATACAGTGAAACATCAGGTTAGTATTTTTAAACTTTAGGTTACAAAGTACCAAGAACTCTTTAATTGAATTTCCACTGCTTGGGGGATTCTGAACTCGGTCTATTTTTGACAATGATCTTCAGCCTATATTGTGCCTCAAAACAGTTTTGTTTATAGACAGTAACAAACACGATTGTTCAGGAGGTGAACTGTATCCTGGTGAAAACTCTTCATCTCCACAAGTCAATAAATCACTTTGGTAATGTAAAAACATCTTTCAAACATCTTGCGAAAATTAAATGGAAAGTTTATAAAGACATGCTTTGGTCAACATCAGACTATATTAGTAACCTCATTGCTCATATTTTCTAAGGTTGAACACCTTTGGTTATTTTCATAAGTATTCAGAATATCTAAAGGTGCATGGATAACTCTGGGAAAGTTTAAAAAAATCACACAGAAAAAGTGCTAATCTCTTATTAGCTGATTTAAGATAGTAGAGCCAATAAAAAAAAGTCACTCCACCGAGGCAGAAAAAACTAAATGTATTTTTATATTCCCAGTAAAACATACTGCATATATGGTTGCCATGTAACTGCAATAAATTTCTGTGTTTTGTAATAAACTACAAAATTTAAAGAGCCTAAGGAATTAATCTGCCAAAATAAGGTTTAACATAAACTACAAGATGCCTAGTTTATCCTAATCTGATATGAAATTGTACTGACAGTAAAAAAATGTACAGAAATGAAGCAAAGTAGTCCACACATTCCTATGGATTAAAAATAAATCATAAATAGTAACATTCATTTTCATAACATTTTACATGTTTATACATACACTTTTCCTCTGATATGCTCAAAATTTGTGTGTAAAATTTACTTTTGGGACGGGACACCCCTAGAGCCAATACAATTACATCAATTAGCCAAAAGAGGGCGCAGAGAGAACAGAGTTGATGTAATCCCCAGGAAACTGCCAAGTGGCTTCTCCAGTAGTCTAACAAGAACTGTAACCCCCACAGCAGGGTTAAGGGCGGTAACCTGAGAACAATGAAAGCTACAGCATACGCCTATATGGATGTACATTAAGACCGACTGTTCTGCACATGTAGTGTGAGTAGCTTTTCTGCCATTCACAAGAAACCAGCATATGCTTATCTAGCGCTTTAGTTCCCAGTGGTGTAGCTTAGAGGAACTGCATACAGAGGGAACAGGACCAGGGGACGTGAAGAGAAAAGGGAAGATACGCCCCAGAAGTGGTAAATCTAAGAACACCAAAAACACAAACCCTTGAAGAGGAAAGAGGCCTCCCCCACGATAGCTACTGCCACACATGAATACACCCATAAAGCTCTCTAAGCCTGCACTTGGCTCAGCTGTCTTCTCACGGTCCTCACGTGACGGGAACGTACGCAACACAGGGCAATCAGCTGACATCCACCTGTAATATACAGTCTACTTCCTCGTACTATTTCTGTTGCCAACAAATTTGGTTAATCAGATTTCACGAGATTGAACCGATGTTTCTGACACTAATTTTGTTTCATTAATCTATATTTTTATATTAAATTTACTATATACATTTTATCAGCACCAATATATACTTTCATCCGCCACTTCTAACTTTTTAAGTAGTAAAACATAATTAAAACACAAAAAACATGATACTAATATCTCTGAAAGAACTTATTCTATAATTTCAGAATATTTTAGAAGGTCTTTACAATTTCTGAAAGGATAGCCATAGTATAGCCAATTGGCTAACAACAGTAACCTTCTGCTTCACTGCATCCCAGGTATGATCCCTTCCTTTCAAAATTAAAAGAAAAGTACCAATATGGTCCAAGAATAGCAGACTCTTTTAATCTTCTCTTAAGGGAAAATGCTAAGTACATAATGTTTTTAAAAACATGGATTTTGCAGAATTCTAATGGAAAAACTAAAAGGTAAATTTTTTCAAAGCACACTAAGTATTTTTTCACACAAATGTTCTTTGTTTTCCAAGAGATCATTACTACTAATAATTTAAATTTGTATAAGGCTAATAATAAATATAGATCATTATTATTTCATTATTGTACAATCATTTCCTAACATAAGCTACTAATAAAAGGTCTCTAGAGCAACACAACTTGTAGGCCAATGGAAATTTAACTTCTATTTAGGTGATTACTGGTGCATAAAACTTAGTCACCCTTACCAGTAACTTGCTGTTTATGACTGACTTACTAGTTACTAGTAAATAAAATTTCAATATGAGTTGCCTGACATCTATCTGTCTAAACTTTCAATGTGTAATTTTACACCTACTAGTAGATAAATACAAGTAAAAAGTATATATTTATTTAAAAGCACAATATTCCTCCTCTTTATACTGTACATTATATATTATCAAGTTATATAGTATTTTAAAAATGTAAGCATTCTAACATACCACACTAGCAAAAGTAACAGAAATTATTGCAGATTTTCTACCATTTTTGTTCATTAAACTCTAAGGATAAAACAGGAATGTATGACCACTGGTCACAAATTTCTTCTGGGAACAAATACTCTAACGGCAATCAATAATTACAGCAAAGAGAAAAATTAATGTGAAAAAATTAATTTTTTCTTTATAATAAGGTAAGTAGTTGGTATTTTTTCTCAGTGATTCTTTTTTAATTTTGGTTTTGGTGAAGAGGAGAACACATCAGAAAGCTGCTCCTAAGAAAACACTGCCCTTACTGTTCACTCTGAAGCTGCATTTAAAAAATCTTGCAGCACATATAAAAAAGTATTAAGTATTTTAATTTGTATTTGAAAAAAAATTTACATATAAGAAGGCGTATCAAGTTTTGTAAAACCTGAAGAATTAAATTCAGATTTGGTTAGTACTGCTTAAAAGTGAAAATTTAAATAAACATCTGAAATCTCCCACAAATTAAAATCTGTAACACTGTCAGTACTAGAAGAAATTTATGTACAATTACTTCTCCCAATCACTGCCTTTGAGTTTAATAACAAAAGCATTTAAAGAAATCCCTGTGGAAAGCTAATTTAAAAGTAAACATGCTTTAAAACTTAAATATAGATCTTGGATTAGTCCCACAACAGGATCAAGATCACTATTAAAATAAAGCCTGGGGCACATTATGAGGCCTAAGATTGGTGGGTGGATTTTAATTGACTTGAAGACTGTCATAGTTCTATTATCACAAAACCTGTAACGCATTTCCAGCGTGGAGGACCCATCTGTGCCCACCGTCCATCTGTTTAGACATGATTGGCAAAGTGGTAGGGAACTCGCAGTGGCTGCCTCTGCCTGAAAGGAATGAACCACAGGATCTTCCAGCGAGTGCCAAAAACTTCTGAGAAGGTCTGCTGCCACGGCTTTCGGGGCCTCGAGCTACAGAAGACGGCATTATTAGTGAAAGACAGCACTCCCACGGTGCACTTCAGTCAGCTAAAACAATACAGGTTGGCTGGGGATCCATTACTGGACTCTGATGAATTGTGTCCCCGCATCACAAACACAGCTTTGCTTTCACTGTGGCACGCAGCTGAGTTTTAACTCTGGATAGCAGATATTGCATCTGCATCATCAATCAACCTGGGGCAACTTTGGAAGCAGAGGAGAATCTCAGGATTAACAGAATGTGTGTCAACAACACAGAAGCAAATCTCTTTTGACGTACTTTCAGAACAAATCATTTAACTTACTGCAGTCAGACAAGGACCAAAAACTGATCAGTACTTCTTCTGTTTAAAAACTATGATGAGTAGAAGAACTCCTACTGTAAGACGAGTATTCCTGTCTATCTGGGGCTTCAGACAGGGGACCAATAAAAAGTCACCATTATATTATCGTTCCACTACATGCACAGTCGCACGTGTAGCTGGTTGCTTCAGTTAAGTAAGAATATTACAACTCTACTTTTATACTTACGTTTCTTCACAACAGTGTGACATTTTCTCGATAGATGTTGTATCCTATTAAAAACAGAAATGCTCAGATGTAACAAATTCATCAAGTCTTCATATTTATTTTAAATTGCTTTTAATCCCCCAGACAGAATATTCTAAAGATTTAAAAAGATTACATATGAGTATGGTTTTAAATTCTTCACATACATCACTAGAGTTCCCTTGGAAAAACAAAATAAACCTTACATTATTCAAAAAATATTCAACACAAAACCTCGTAAACACTGTGGATACATCACTTCATTAAAAATAAAATCTTTTATTACACTTGCTTTTTGATAATTCTTTTTAAAATCTACTGTTTATTTTAAGCTCAACTGTCAGTGAACACAAGCTAAAGACAAATTCCAAAATGACACATGAAAGACACTAATGAACAATATATTACCAACAGTCAAAAGAGTGCTACTGGTTCTGGACTTCTGTAAACAATAAAATTCAACAAGGCATTCAATGAATTTGCCATATTACAACATCTGTCATTCTGAAAACTAAAGTTAGCTCATTAGTATTCTTTAGTAAAAACAATTTCTTTGTTAACCGAAAAATAACTCCTCATAGTAACACAATATCTTACCGTGTTTTCACTAAGGCTCTAATACAAACATATACAAACAACTCAGCAAACAAAGACGATAACTTCTAGAAAATGCTAATTTAAACTGTATTAACAAAAGACTTACCATTAGATTGACAAACTGTTGTAGATAACCAAATAAACATAAAGTCACAATCTTATTTTTAAATAAAAATTTATATTCTGAACATTAAGCATCGCAAAATAACAACAGTTTTTTCAATATACAAAAACATGAAGTACTGTATTAGCTTTCCAGTCACTGGGCCACTATACTCAACTTAAAGGAGGACAGTCTTAATTTGACTAATGATTCAGAGGATTCCCTCTATGGCTGGCTGGTTCCAAGGCAGAAATATCATGGCAAAATGCATGGCCAAGCAAAACTGCTCAGCTGATGGGGGTCAGGAGGCACAGCAGGGGAACAGTGCCAGAGGAATGGCCTAGGGGTCACACACAGTACCCAAGATCATGCCCCCACATCCTACCCATACATACTAAGGAGCATGCGAATCTACTAGACATTCCTTTATCCAGTGAAGCTGACAAATCAGGAATAATGGTCACAATCCAGACCTTGTCAAATTCACACCCAAAAACATCTCACTATGTCCAAGTGCAAGCCTTTTCTGAGACTCAAGGCAAACTCTTGGTTAAAAATCAAAAGTCTTAGTAAAAATCAAAAACTAGTTACATAATCTCAAGGTACAATGGTACTGGGTAAACATTCCCATTCCAAAAGGAAGGAACAGCAGGATAGGAAAGAGACTGGAACCCAGCAGGGCAAACACTAAACCTTCTGTATCTGGCACCTTTGGCACACAGCAAAATATGAATCCACTGGGCTTGGGTGATTCCACCTGCAAGACCTGGGCTGCTGCAGCCCATGCGGCCTCTCCCTTGGCTAGCCCCACTCATGCATGGTCTATGGCTTTCCTCAAAAGATACTACATTGTCCTGGCATCTCCAACTTCTTGGAGGTCCCCACTGCACCTCTGGTTTCATTCCCACAGCTTGATGCACTGCCCTCTCAGGGTACACTGATGGTCTTCCAAGATTTGCTCTGAAATCTGGGTAGAAGCCCCCTTGATACCACAACTCTTGGCATTCTGCATGCCTGTAAAACAGCATCATGTGGACAACGCCGAAGCCCAGCCCCTCGGACCATGGCTTCAGTGGCCTTTGAGAGCGTGGATGGTTAAGAACAGTGAAATAAATCCTGGGGGAACCGATTCTCTAGGAGGCAATTTTCAAGAAGGGGTCACAGGGAATCTATTCTCACATGAAATGTTTATACTTTTGCACCCTGGAGGCTGCAGTGGGTGGCACCTTCTGTTCCTGAGATGCTCTCCAAGTATCTTTCTCTTGTCCCTGTGCAAAGTACTTGGTTTCTTTTCAATGGTGCAAACCTTTTTAATAGCCACACTTCCTTTGGCCCAAACTTTATTTATTATTCCTTTGGGGGAAAATTTAAATTTTGCAAATTTTTCTGCTCTGCCTTTCACCTCCAAATCTCACTACAAATCTAGGTAAAAATACCCAGCAGAACCCATACCACAGCCTGAATGTTGGGCTGCTTTGAAATTTCATCCACCAGCTCAATTAATCTACTGCTCTTAATCTCAGTTTCCCTCAAAATCTCAGCACATGGGCAAAATACACACAAATTTTCTGGCAGACTGTAACACATATGCTCTCTGGTCTAACCACCAGAGCAGTCTTTGTTCATAAATGAAAGCTGCCTGCATTCCTGTCTGCATGCTGGTCCTCTGAGCTCTGACCAGAATCACCCATCAGGCTCTGTTCACAGCGTTCTAGGGCTTCTCCAGCCCAGCTCTCTAAACTTTTCCAAACACCTCCCTCAAGCCAGTCCAAAGGTTTTTAAACCGTATGGTCGGGTACAGAGACGGCAATAGCACCACTCTTGGTACCAGTCTTTGTATCTGTCAGCTTTCCTGTTGCTGGGACATGATACCCAACATCTACAACTTAAATGAGTTTCAAAGTGGCTCGTGGTTCAGGGGGTTCAGTCTATCTCTGGCTGGCTCCAAGGCAGGAACATCACGGCCGAAGTGTGTCGCTGGGCAAAGCGGCTCAGTTCATAGGAGCTGGGAATCAAGGCGTCAGAACTGTGCCAGATGGGAGCAAGCTAAGGTCCATATACAGTAATGCTTCGGTTCATGAACACTTCTGTTAGCAAACAATTCAGTTTTCAAAAGTATTTGACAAAATTTTGCTAACCTTCACAAACTCCACATCAGCTGACAAGCACAATCATAGCCATCTTACCTGCATAAATACAAGCATGGCCACCTTCCCCAAAACCACAAGTAAATTAAGTTCATGCATCCACTGTATAGTACTCAAGGTCACACTTCCAAGACCTACCCAGACGTACCTAGGAACATGCTTTACTAATCTACTAAGTGTTTCTTCATTCAATGAAGTTAACAAATCAGGACTTTAATGGTCACAGATACACTTTCATTCCTTTATCTTAATGCCTTGCTCACCATATGGTCAAAGGTGGACAGTACTATTACTAAAGACCACTATTCACACAACTAACAGTGGCTGCAACTCAAATCCCAAGAACTTCTGTGGCTACAGAATGTTTTTCCAATGATGCCACTACGTTTAACTCCTTAAGAGATGTAAGAATAGTTCATAATATTAAATTCTCATGTATAAACAGTTAGCCTACACAGAGAAAAACAGTTTTTCCTTTACAAATTTTCCAGGGATTTGTAAGTAAATTATAGCATATACATAAACATATATGCATGTACATATACACATATATAATATTTCCTTATGTTTTGAAATTTAAGATATCCAATGATATTCATAGCTAACCTTTCTCAGGTCTGTTGCATAATTTCCTCAAAATGATTTTTGTGAAATCATTTTGTGAAAAGAAAAAGATGGGACAGAAGTCACAAAGTACTATCAGGGAAGTGCATGAATGGCTTAAAATCACAGCCGTGGATAATACTTAAAACTTGGAAACTATTTCAAGGTAAGGAACTCAACAGCAAAGTCAGATAATCACCAGCAGCTAATATTAATGGGAACTGTTACTATGTAAAAATTTATAATTTAACTATAACCTCAAAGCATTTATTTTTAGCATAAAAAACATTAAAGACTTCATTTTTAGATTTCACATAGAAAAAGCTTGTATTTTCAAGCATTTTTGACACCTTTTTAGAACTTATTTTAGGAAATAACTAAATGATACCTTTTAAATCATCATGAGCAAATGACTATCCTGTCAAAAGGTGTGACACTTACCAGCACCTTAATAATAGGATTTGTGAGGCTGGCCAACATAGACTATTTTTTCCCCTCTAGAAATGGCAAATGCTCATCTCTCTAAAATTCTGCCACCCACAACAGTGTCATCAGGAAAAAGTACAATTTAAATTTGAGCAGCCAATATGTCACCAAGTTTCCGTGCTGGTGCTTACACAACATAACCAGCGCAACACAAGTCATGCCAGAACATTCACAGGCAAGACAGGAAGCAGGAGGAGAAGTTACTGCCACCAGAAGAATGGAACTACGAGATACTGTCAAGTCCTAAATTAGATTTTTGTTTTGTTTTACAAAGCAGAGAAATGTAGACTTAAAAAGATAATGACAATATTTTGTCGCAGGTAATTTAACTCCATACAAAAGAATAATTCCAGTGCCCATCAGGAAAGCAGCAACAAGGCAACTTCCATTTTCAAGGGGATATAAATGTAATTTATAAACTCAGCTATCCAGAACAAAAAAATTCATTCTCTTAGGAATGATCAGAAGCAAGTATTTTCTGTGTAATGCTACTATAAGGTTATCTTATTTCCTGAGAAATATTTATGCTAGGTATGTTCTAATGATCAAAATACCTGAAAACTTCCATTACTCTGCATGAACTGAGAGACTTAGGAGAATATTTCACTCTTTTAAAAGCCAGAAGTTTGTGTTATTTTTTTTTATAAACTTAAAATAAGCGGGGCTGGGGATTTAGCTCAGCGGCAAAGCGCCTTGCCTGGCAAGCGCAAGGTCGTGAGTTCGGTTCCCGGTACCGGAGAAAAACCTCAAAAAAAAAAAATAAGCAAGATGTAATAGAAATATAGATCTTACCTACAGTCAATAATTTATCTTCCTTTGATGACTGATGTTAGATTACAAAATTATTTTTCAGTTTCCATCTAAAATTAAACTTGACTCTAAAAGAAACTGTATCCTAACTAATAAGATATGGGAGTGGTGATTCCTGGCTGAAAGGAAGAGAAGTATTTATTGGACAGAGGTTAGAAAACTGAAAGGAGGAGGGTATGAAGAGCAACTTTTATTAAACAAAAATATAATTCAGAAAAGAAAGCAAAAACGCTATACAGAGCTCCGTTTACAGAAATGTAAGAGAGCTGGGTTCAGTATA